ACAATTTAAACTTGCCGGCACCGTTTTTGTATTAAAAGATACACAATTTTTTTTAAATCATCTTTATTAAATCTAAAGAATCAAACAGACATTAGCTCCAAAAAAAAATTAAGATCACAAATTGTCATCGTAATTTTTATACAGAGCCTCTATATTACCTTTTGACAAAACGTATAGAACAATTAAAAATTCTAATACTTATAAGAGATAAGCATATCAAATAAAGACAAAAAGTCTTTCTACTTTAGCTATAGTTTACTGAGCATATTATTATGCTAAACGACGCCTAGGACAATGTAATCAATAACGGTAGCAATTTTTTTGTTGAAACAATGTGTTTATATAGTAAACGTAGTACATATAAAAAATTTACAATATTTATTTAAAGCCAAATTCATTTTTTAAACAAGAACTGGAGTTGTCTGTTATCAATACCAAACACACTTATAGTTTTATCTGTAAAGTCTTTTTTGTTGCAGTTTATTTTGTCTCTGTATGTTTAACATGCACAAACCAGAGAGAGATGTTGCTGATAAAGTTAACAAAACTAATAAGACATACTTGATACTTGGATAAAATTGTGTGAAAGCATGGCCCACTTATTTACGGCCGTATATTTTACATTTTTGAAGGGGAACTTATATATACATATTATATATATTTATATATATATATATATATATATATATATATATATATATATATATATATATATTATATATATATATATATATATATACATATATATATATACATATATATAATATGTATATATATATATATATATATATATATATATATATATATATATATATATATATATATATGTTTTTTGTTTTTTTTTTTAAGTTGATTTAGGTGCCCCAAGAAGTCCTTACGGTCTTATCACAGAGCACCGCGTAAGAGCATTTAATAGGAAGTTCACGCCTCCTTCCCAACCGATATCGCACAACTTGCTCAGAGGTGGGGTTTGAACCACGGATCTTACGTTTCTGAGGCAAGTACGCTACCACTGCGCCACGGCTGCACATATATATATATATATATATATATATATATATATATATATATATATATATATATATATATATATATATATATATATATATATATATATATATATATATATATATATATATATGTATATATATATGTATGTATATATGTATGTATACATATATATAGTAGTAGTAGTAGTAGTAGTAGTAGTAGTAGTAGTAGTAGTAGTAGTAGTAGTAGTAGTAGTAGTAGTAGTAGTAGTAGTAGTAGTAGTAGTAGTAGTAGTAGTAGTAGTAGTAGTAGTAGTAGTAGTAGTAGTAGTAGTAGTAGTAGTAGTAGTAGTAGTAGTAGTAGTAGTAGTAGTAGTAGTAGTAGTAGTAGTAGTAGTAGTAGATATTAATTACAACAAAAGTAAAAATAATTGACAAAATACAAATCATAGATTGTCAGATTACAGATAGTTTTTGTGAAGCTCATATTGCAATTTTTACTAAGGAAAGCTGCGAACTGTAGTAAGATTAGAGTCTATCGAGGCTTACTTTAAAACTGTTGACAGTTGGAGAATTGATTACTTTATCTGGTAACATGTTCCATGCATTGACAATGGAATTATTAAAAAAGTGGAAACGAGCTAAATTGTTGCTGTACTTTTCACGATAAAGTTTTTCTCTGTGATTTGCTCTTGGTGGAATTGTGATGAGGGGAAAGTGCCAGTTGATTATTTCAATGTTATTAACAGTTTTGTATTTTTGGATGAGGTCACCTCGTTTGCGACGTTTAACTAGATTAGATAGGCCAAGTTGTAAACATTTGGACTTGTAGTCTAACTTTTTCAGTTTGTCTGGTATTTTTGTGGCTTTGTGTTTTATTAGCTCAATAGTTTGTTCATCCTTCACCAAATGAGGGTTCCAAGCTGGAATTGCAAACTCAAGTAAAGGACGGACGTAGGTGGAGTAAAGTTGTTTCCATAAAGAAGCATCACGAGACTGGAAAGTGTGTTTTAGGATGCCTAGCATTTTATTTGCTTTACATGAGGCAATAATGGATTGGGTTTCTACTTTAAGGTCATTGATAATTTGAAATTCCAAGTCACGCTATAAGGTGGTTGATTACAATGTAGTTCGAGTCGTTATTGAACGAGGGCATATTTCCTCCATTGAGTACTAGAAAGGAGTTAATTTTTTTTGGCTAAAGTGCATGACCTTGCATTTCTTTGCATTTGGCTCCAAGAGCCAAGACTTAGTTAATTTGCTTTCGACCATGAGTTTGGAATTTCTCCATTATCAAATGACTTTTAAAAGATGAGAGTAAGTGGAGTAGACATTGAGGTAGAACAAAAGCGTAAAACGTGAGGGTTGACATTGTCTACACCAAGTGATTTAGATATATCTAGTGATGAGAGTTCCATTAGAGTGGCCTGAGTGTCAAAAGTTATGTTGTTGAGGATTGTGTTAGTTCTATAATCAAAATGGGGAAAATTGCCATTGGATGGCTCTTTGCTAAAAACTGCTTAAAACTGATTGTTAAGCGATTTAGCTATTTTAACTTTGTCATAGGTAATGATTTCACTGGATCTGGCGATTCGCATAGATGAGATCTGATTACTATATGATTACTATTTATGTATGAAAATAGTCTTTTAGGGTTGCGCTTATCATTTGCAAGAGCAATTTTGAAAGATTTCATAGAAGATCAACTTAATTTTTTAACAAACTTTCTAGTTTCTCTATATTCTTTAACCAGGGATGCGATTTTCCATTTTGAATTGACGTTACGAGCCCATAGTGATTTTTTAAGACGAATTAGGGATAAAAGTTTTTTTGTCATCCATGGTTGTTTATTTGGGGATGGTTTATTTGGCATGCAAGGGATGAATTAAAAACAACATTCATTGTATTTTTTAGCCAAATTTGGTAACATTGTTCTACGTTTAATTCTTTAAAAATAAATGACCAGTCAACCTTATTGAATTCTTTGTTGATTTTTTCGTAGTTACCAAGGTTGTAGATAAATTTAGAGCTGTTGAAATGCGATAATTTTCCAGTGGAAGTCAGTTTGTATTGCCAAATGATAGAGTAATGATATTTATCAGAAAAACCGAGTGGAGGACCAATGTTGACTTTGTTAGCACGATATGGACAGTAACATATTATGAGATCAAGAGTGTTTGCCATAGGGCGATTAGCAGGTTTGAAAGTAGGGACAGTGACAATTTGGTAAAGATGACAATCTTGAAGAAGAGAGACAAATGAAGAACTGAGAACAATTTTACTAGAGGAGAAAAAAAAATATATATATATATATATACATATATATATATATATATATATATATATATATATATATATATATATATATATATATATATATATATATATATATATATATATATATATATATATATATATATATATATATATATATATATATATATATATATATATATATATATATATATATACATTTACATACATACATACATACATACATACATACATACATACATACATATATGCGTATGCTCTGTTTCAGTAACGTTCGTAAGCGCATTTTATATGCGTATTAAATGCGTGCGTAAAAGCAGTTGTTTGCGTATATAGCGTTTACGTTTAAAATTTCTAATGTTTTAAAATTTACTTTTTTTTTGTAATAGTACTTGTTTAAAAATTACACAAACAAATCATTTTGTATAAAATAACCATAAATAAACAGCTAAACTTATAAAAACTAAATTTTACAAAGATATTCAAACATACAAGCATTGCTTAAAGTTTACCATTTATAAAGTAACATTAACAAATTAAGATGCTAGTGTCAATAAATAATTCCATCAAATAATCTATCAAATAACTTTGAATTGAATTGTTTATTTATATTTGAATCCAATAGCGGACCGGCATCAATAAAACAAATTGCAAGAACAATTTTCATCAGAGGCGTCCCGAGGGGGAGGGGGCATAAGAGTGTCTAGCCCCCCTACGAAATTAATTAATTGGAAAATTAAACACTAAAGTCGGAAAAAATGGATCTATAGATGGTAGTCAAGGCCTTAGTGGCAAAAAACAGATACATCTTTCTCCTTTAAAATATCTTCGGGACGGCCCTGATTTCTATAACAATATATCGTCGGTATACAAGAGAAATGCAACAAGTCCAACAACATCATTTTGAGATAATATACAATTAAGTTTTTGCATAATAGTTGAAATAAAAAATCTTAATAACTCATTAATATTTGATTTATTAAATTAGTGTGGTATATCAAGCGATAGAGAATTCAAATTACTAAATAGTGGTATAAATAACTGCATACTGCAAAAAATGGACTTTGTGCATTTCTCTTGTATACCGACGATATGTTGCTTTTAATACACAACAACAGTTACAAATCTCCCTAACAGCCACGCGTTGACTTATTTACCAGTTGAAACTTGCTGCAGCGACTTTTGCGATGGCGGATGCTATTTACAACGACAAAACAAAAAACAAACAAAAATTAATGAAAGTTAAAATCAGAATAAGATAAAAGAAAATGTAAAAAGATGCATAAAAATACAGATGAGGTAAAACAGATAAATAAAAAGAAAAGTATTTTTATTGCTACTACTTTTTGTTAACTTTGTTGTTTATTGTTGTTAGTTTTTTTTTTAGTTTTTATTTAAAATAATTCAGTAATACAGTTTATATTTTTATCTTTATAACTTGTGTGTGGTGATTATTGATTCTTTTCGATCTCTAAAATTTGCTGCATTTTTAAAATGTTTACTTGCTTAAATTGTCTAATCAGTAAATAAAAATTGTCTTATCGGTATTTTTTTATTTCGGTAAAAGGACCAGTAAATAAAAATTGTCATACCGGTAATAGTTTATTTCGGTAAGAGGATCCATTTAATCAACTTTCGATTGCTTTTACGAGTATTGTGTATAATTGTATTTTGAGTTTTTATATCCGGTTATAAATTTGTTCTTATTCTCACCTATTTTTAATTTAACATCCAAATCTTCAATTTTTTATAAAATAAGTATTTTTTTTTCCTTTCAAATATCCTTTTAAGTCATCTCAATATTCTGTTTAACGCGCTTAATTACAATGGTTATAACGAATGTAATTGGCTATTTATGAAAAGTCTAATTTAATGCTCTTAGTTATAACGATTACGATTTGTTCTCTTGGGCAGTTTAATGACATAGGCAACACAAGGGCCATGCGAATTATGCCGTCGCATAGAAAGCCAGTGTGGCTGGGGTGCTGCGCTCGCGCAGACAATAATATTATTTTTTCCGTTTTTTTTTTTAAATCATATAATTGATTTTAAAAAGTAAACTTAAATATAACTTTTGGTATCCATAATGTGTAGAAGTTCTTTATATAAACTAAGTTCTTTATATATTAGAGGCGCCAAATTTTTTATGCATGACTATTCATTTTATACATTTTTGCTCAGCACTTCAATAAAAAAATAATTAGATCAAGTAGTAGTTAATTAATCGTTGAAAGAGTAAGTTTGTGAGTTAACTGTTTTATCTAAACCGTGTTTTTTTTTTTTTTATGTTAAATGTTTAATTTAACATAGATAAAAATTGTAATCGTGAATTTACATTTAAGGGCGCCATAGTTATTATTTTAAACTATTGATTTTGTACGTATTTGCAAAACGTAAGGCAAAAAAAGTTTGAAGATTATCTATATTATTAAACAATTATTAAACTAATAATCTTGTTAATTTAATAATGATGATTTGGTATTTATTAATTTCTTTGATCAAAAGTGTATTTCATAACGCTTACAGCTCCGTAGTCAATTTTTATGTAAAGTACGATATACATTTAATCAAATATTATGTTTTTGTTGTATTTTAAGGGTTTTAATAAATATGCGCAAATTACCAAAATATATTGTATGATAAATTGATAATAAACATATATATTTTTTTATGATAGGGGGCGCCAAACCTTGATCTTGCATATGGCAAAAAAATCCTTAAACCGGCTGATCATTGATATCAAATTTAACTGTTTTAACATGAATAAATCAGGTAACGCGTATAACTTAAAATTAATATTTTACTTCATTATTTAATTTTTAATTGTAATTTTCGTATCTAAAACAATAATTCTATTTTTAAACCTAATTATAACTTAAAACTACTTTTTTAAAAATAAATTGTTTATTTAATGCGCTTAGTTACTGTTTAACGCGCTTAGTTACAATTGTTATTCTCTTCTTTAACTAATCTTCACACTGACGGTAAAATATGTTTTATTTTAAACGCGTTTTATGTTCTTATAAACTGTGTTAAACAACAATAAAACAGCATGGCGAGGTTATTTTATATCAACACAAGCCAGTGCCGGATAAAGGGGGACTAGAGGGGGCTATAGCCCCCGGTCCCGCAAATTTAGGTGCCCCCAAAAATTTTTAGAGGACTTTTTTTTTTTTTTTTTGTCATTTTTAGGCTCTGGCCCATAAAAAGGCCTCCAAAAACAAAAATAGCCCCGGGCCCCAAGAAGTCTTAATCCGCCACTGACACAAGCTTTTTATATTGACAAAATAACCTCGCAGTATTATTTTATTGTTGTTTTATACAGCTTTTTACAATAAAAATTTTATACGCTTTTAAAATAAAAAGTGTTTTATCGTCAGTATGAACAGGTTATAAACCGTGTTCTAAAACTTTTAATAGTAGTTTTAATAGTAGTTTTTATTAGTAGTTTTAAGTAAAATGTTGTTATCAGTGTCAAAAAAATATAATTGTTTGGTTTCAAAGTCAATTGTTCTGTAAGCCATTGCGCATGATTAAAAGTTTATTTTTATAAAATTAAGGGTTAAGCATTTAACTTATTTCCGAAACTCTCGTACAAAAAGCTTTTTTCGTTTTTTAAGGTTTCATTTGCGTAATCTTCATTTATGAATACTCCACTGCTCTTAAGTTTTTTTGCTAAAGATAATATTTTGCTTTTTTCATGAAAATTTAAAAGTTTGAGAATTATCGTTCGCGGCTTGTCTTCTTTTACTTGTCCTACTCGATGGGCTCTCTTAACTACTATGTCCTCTGCAATTCCCAATTGGTTTTTAAAGATATTTTTTACTATGCTAACACAGTCATTCCATTTTTCAGAGTTAGATTCGGATACTCCGTCAATTCTTAGATTGTTACTACGTTGTTTACTTTGATTAAGCAAGTTTTGAATTTTTGACATTTTTGGCACATGCGCATACACTTTTCTTAGACGGAAAATTGTTTTAAAGAGAAAAAATAGGTTATTTGCGTATGCTTGAAAAACATTTCCGCGCAGAAACTTCTAACGAAAGTCTGAATAGGGAGAATCGGCGTTAGCTTAACAATGAACTAAAAGTTACTTAAACGTGACAATATTTTTTTGACGTTTTTGTAACTTTTATGGTTTTTATTCACATAAAAAGCATTTCAACAATGATTTTGTTCCAAAACATGTATGTTTATAAATAGTGTTTAGCAGTTAGTGAAAACCTTTCAAAAACAAACAAAACACGTTATAAAATATTATAGATGCTGTTAGATAAAACTAACAGTTTTCGCAACAGATAGCAAAAAATAAACATATGGCGCCATTAAAATATGTGAAAACTTCTTTTAAGATAAAAACAAAACTAACTTGATGGTTAGGTGAAAAAAATAAACATTCGGTTGAAAAACCTTTATACAGCGTTTTACAGCAAAAACGTCAAACTTTTGAAATTGAAGAAACAAAATATCCATTTTTAGCGTTACGTTTTTGAGTAACGTAAAGTAAAGTTATGTAACAAAATGTCCAGTTAAAACGTAACTTTTTGAGTAAATATATATTTAAACAATTTAAAAGTTAAAATAAATTAAACGATAAAGATGTTATAAATAAAGAAAAGTTGTATAAAAGTTTTATAAACCAATTTAAAACCATCTACATATAGCCATCAAATAATAGCCACCTTTTCAAAATAATTTATTGCCATTATTATTGAGCAGGCGGTTTTCCATACTGTTTTATTTCTGCGTCGTGTGATCTTTTATAAATTGTATAAAACACGTTCTGAATGCCTTTTATCAATTATCCATTTAACTATTGCGCTAAAATCCAAAGTAATTTGTTTTAAAAATATCTTAAGCTACTTTAAATACATTTCTAATACGCATTTTATATGTTTTTGTGCTGACCGGGTAAGTTCTATTCTACTCATGGCTAATAGAGAATGAATCAAAATTCTTCTGAAGTGCTTTGCTACGTATTATAGTGGTGAACATCAGGTACTACATAAGATTGTAAAAAATACCATATTGTAGATAACATACGCAAAATATTTTGAAACACCCACAGGTGATTAAGACTAGCTATGGTATTTATGTAATTGGAGAACCACTCCAGTTACATGAGAAATTGCAAATTAGAAGAAAGGCTTTTACCGTTCTAAGAGTATAAACATCCGAAGAACCATCACGATGATTGTTACTTTTGTATGATTTATATTACGAAGTAAAGAAAATATTTATATTACAAAGTACATAAAAGCTATAGGGAAGCTCTTCACCTGTCCCACATGACAACAGCCTATCAGTACTACAACCACAAGAAAGTGTGGTGGTTGTGATGCTGAAAGTATACTTCTCAGCATACTATTCAAAAACTTTCTTTAAATTTAACTAAACGTGATGTATTTACTATGTATTTATCTTTAATAAAGTTTTAAACACAACTGTTATTTACGTCTATGTTTAAGTTATATGATGTGTTTTTTTTCTTTTACGAGGGAATTGAAATGAATATTTTATATCAATAGTCAACTTGCAACAATAGCAAAAATATGGAGGAAGCTTCTGTACCAAAATCAAATTTTCAGTCTTACTATCCCAATCAGAATGAGCTAGATACTTAAGATACTTAGATTCAATAAGAGATTTAGGTTTAACTAAGTCGGTAGCTGAAAACCATTATCAAGATGGAAAAAATCTACGAGGCAAAAACTGCTGGACACGTGTGTATTGAAAACTACTTAAAGATTTGATGTTTAGCTTTAATTGTGTAATGATCTATGTTTTTGTAAAGGTGTGACTGGTTTGTTTACTACTCTTAGACTCAAGCATTATCCTGCACGATAATGACTGTTCATGGATAGCTTACAACGGAATCTTAAAGCAGTGTTACTTCCCAATGGAAATAAATATCCATCCTTGCTTCTTGCACACTAGGTACAGAAGAAAGAAGACTATGATAATATCAAGGATGTTGGAAGGATACTGATATTTTTAGAAGGATACTGCTAATGTTGGAATGTTATACATTGTCTAAAGTCAGAAGAGAAGAAAGTATGTACTAAAAAAAATCGCGATCGTCAAAGCACTTCAAATCTAGAGGAAAGAGTTTATAGTAAAGAATTTGTTTTTTTTTGTTTTCACTAATATCGTACTTTTTTAATACTTTTCAATATATGAAAAAGTGATATATGCTATGTAATTATCCTAGCAATATTAGAATGGATTGATACGACATACTAACTTAGACATATTTGCTTCTTTAAAAAAATATGAATTTTATATGAAACTTATGTCAAATATTTTTCTAAAATTTATATCAAGAAAATATGAACCAAAAAAACTAAGGTAAAACGAATGTAATTTTTGAGTTTGAGTAGTTAAAAATACATAAATAAATATTAAAATATTTAAGAGGGTAAAATCTTTGTTACATATTGTAATTAATAACTTTGTTGAATTGTAATTTTGCATTCAACATAGATCTAATGTTTAGTAAGGTAATTATGCTCATTCTCTTTAAAATAATTGCTTAAAAATATTTCGCATTTTTTCATAAGTTTTTTCATGAAAATTGTAAATGTATATTCAGTTTGTTAACAATGATTTTGAATACGGTTTACGGACGGTTTACGTTTTATAACCAATTTTGATGTTTTTCCTTATTGAACTATTTTTTGTCTTAGGGATCGTCCATAAATTACGTCACGCATTTTTTTGACAGATTTTGACCTTCCCCCTCCCCCTCGTCACAAAATCGTAACACTTAAGAATAGAGATGTGCCGGAACCAGTTTATGCCGAGTCTCCGATTCCGGGTACCCGCCTGAAAAAACGGGTCCGAGTCCGGGTAGTCGGCACCGAGTCCATTTTTTAAAAGTTAGAATAAAAACTTGGCAAAATTATCTTGTGTTCTAACAGAATAAAAAGAAGCTATTTTAAAACTTTTTTTCCTATTCTTTTTATTCGTATTCTCGAATCATTTCATTTAGCGTTACAGTTTTTGTACCTGTATAAATTTTTTTGCAGAAATGTATTACAAAATTTTTTAAGTGAGATTGTTTTAAATAAATAGAACTTTGTGGTTATCGACTACATAACACTCATAGACTTATATCAAGAAGTTTAATGGTTAAAATTTTAACTAAAGGAAAAATCAATTTGAAGATACCCGGTGCCGGGTACTGCAACAAAATGGCCGATACCGGTACCCGGTAAAGCAGCCGAATTGCCGGGTCCCCGGGTCCGAACCGGGTACCAGGCTCATCACTACTTTCGTCACAAAACTACCAACCCCCCCTCCCCCTTATAGCGTGACGTAATTTATAGACAACCCCTTAGGGATCGTCCATAAATTACGTAACGCAAAACTTCACAATAAACAAAACAAAAAAAGATCAAAAGTTTTCCTTCGCAGAGTCTTAATTTAAATAAATGATCAAAATAGAAAATTAGGTTAAATAAAAATCGCCGCGTAAAAGAGCTTAATATCTCCTACTTCTGTTTTTAAAATATTTTTTACGTTGCGTAATTTATGGACGAACCCTTAGGTTCAAACCCTGCATCATATAATGTTTGCATAATTAAAATAGAAATGAATTGATGAAAAATAATTTATAGTAATCCGTCTATTATTTTGGGGCATTTAACCTGATGAACAACGTCATAGTTTTTTAGTTGAAAATTTAAACTGTTTTAATAACAGTAAAAGTAAAATTGTATTTTCTAGACATTTTAGCTCCATTATCGTAAATCTTCAGACATCAATTATGTTTTAACTAAGTTTTGAGCACCAATGATTCATTTTTTGCTATCTAAAAATTAATGCTTTTACAGTTTTTCCATTTTTTTAAAAATTATTTTTTCTTTTTAATAATTCCGTAAAAATATTTGAACGTTATTGTCTGATATGGGACAGTCCATATAGTCTGGAAGTATAACAAATATAAATAAAATTTAATAGAATGTTTTCTATTAAAAAAAAAAAACTTTTTAAAAATAAATCAACTATGTTAGTGTTAAAGGTTTTCTATTCTGTAAATTCTTCTGTTCAGTAAATAAGCATCTTTAAATTAAAGTTTTCGTAAAGAAAAGCAATTATTATTTTTTTTTATTTTAACTTCTATTCTATGGACTATATGTCTTTTACCATTGCTGGTGAATAGAAGTGTAGTATAAGATACAAGTAGTATAAAAAATTATATAAATAAAATATAAAGGATATTAAAAATTTTAAATAATGTTTAGTCTTTCTTTTTTTCTAATTTTTTCGCTAATATAGAAGTCGATATAGTTATTTAATCTGTTTATGTTGACATCAAACCTAATTTTCTTAATAGTTGTATGTGTTATAATTGCGTTGATATTATCAACTAAAAATAGATCCTTAAATTCTATTGGTTTTAATTTGATGTTGTTATTGCAATGCTTGTTAATTATATTGCTGAAAAAAGTCTTAAATGTCTGTTCATCATGTTTGTTGGATACTTTGAAATTTAAGTATTTCTAGTATTGTACTTTATATTATCAATGTTAATAAAATTAAACTGTTTAAATAAGTTAATCGGTTTCTTGTAATAAATTATTTTATTGCATAGTTGTAGTGCTCTGCATATAAATCGATGATGAAAACTGTGTAGGTTGTATGGTTTAAGTTCCCAGCCGACACATTAAGTTTCATTTATGTGTTAAAAACCAGTGAACGACACGTGGTTGACTCAGTGAATTTGTAAACTTTTCTCACGAGTTAGAAACCTTTTTTTAATTGGTGTTTGGAGCGTGTTTTAAAAAACTTTTTTCACGCGTAAAACCATGCTTTAATTGCGTGATGGACACTGATTTGGTAAACTTTTCTCACGAGTTAGAAACCTAATTCTGTTTAGTGTTTCCCAGCCGGCATTATTACGTTGTTTCAATGTTGAAATTCGGTTGAAGCGTTGTTTCAACGTTGTTCAACTATGTCACAACGTTAAATCAACGTTACCGTTTAAACGTTGATTATTTAACGTTATTTCAACGTTAAATCAACGTTACAGTTTAAACGTTGATTATTTAACGTTATTTCAACGTCATTATTTCATTGTTGAAAGCTTCTAGCTCACTTTTAAACCACATGGTTTTTGTTCCAAGTAAAGATGTTATAAGACAGGCAATGCAAAACAGATTTTAGAAATTAAAATTATTCAGACTAACACTAAATTTCAGATATAACAGAATTTATTATGGAAATACCTTAAAATTTTGACTTACAGAAACTAACAGGGAATGAATACAAACATTACAACAATATAAAAACATTAGCTCCAAATTCATCAATAATTTCTTTAAAAAATTTCTAAAGCTTACAGAAGCTAAATTTTGGATAAAAAAATTACATATCGCAACAACTATTTAGATTGTATTAGAAAATACTCTTGTATAATGTATGATTAAGGCTTTAATATTAATTTTTTAATACAAATGAAGTGATTTTAATTAAATCCATTTTTATCAGTCACTTTAAAAATATGATGAGTATTTGTATAAAAATAATTGAAATTTCAAACAATAATATTAGCTTTACTTGTTTTTTTTTTAGGTGAATCAATTGCAATTGGTGGAATATCTTTAAAATGCTGAGGTAATCAAAATAATTTTTAATTATTCAGGAATTTTAAGGATTAAATTATTTAGCAAAAAAATTGTTTGATAATGAGTTCAATTTAAATTTAAAAAAAAAATTAATATTAGTTCTCGTACAATTAATACAAGTTCTCTTATCTATTAAAATTTAGAGTATTTTCCAACAACTTTGTGACCTCCATAAATATAAAGGGGAAAGGTGGAAATATGCTTTAAGAGCACTAATTTATACGGTGTAGTGAAAGGTATACCTTTATAAGATATGTAAAACTTTTTTATTCTCATTTTTTATATATTCAAAAATTTCTCCTTGTGTTTTTTTTTTTTATTAATTCTTTTTTATTAACAGCTTCTTCTATTAAATACGATGGAGCGACTGAAACTTTAATTGATGGCATTTTGTCTAACTTCTAAAAATGCTCTTCATTTCGAAAAGGTGGCGGAAAAGAAAAAAATTTAAATTGATTGATATAAATTTATATTTATAAAAATCGATCTAAAATTTCTTTATTGAAATATTTACATATATTTCAATAAAGAATATTTTCTTTTTGTCTGCTAATATTTTTTTTTCAGTGTTAATTCAACATTACAAATTAAAACTCAATTATAAAAAATTCCTAGAATTGAGTTGATGTTTTAAGTAAAATAAGAAAAGCCCAAAAAGTAACTGATGTAATATTTTTATTTTTTGATAAAAAAAAAATTCCAATAATGTTTAAAATTGGTATTAATATTAATGTTTATTAGATGAAGATGAGTAAAAAATACAATAAAAAATAAATAATAAGTATTGAATACTTTTATTATTAAAATAACTAAAATCATCATTTAATAAAAAGTTTGACAGCCTAACATGATTGTAGTTACTACAAAAACGTTTTCCTGCTTGTTTAAGCCACTCTGATATAACTCGTTTGGTTTCTTTTTCTGAGGAATTCCAAACATTAGATATTGATCTGAGTAATTTATGAATGTTGGAAGATGATGGTCCGAAAACAAATGGTCCGTATATGACTTTAACGGTACATTATTACCATACATAACATTCATATTTATTTGCAACTTGCATGACATAATTGCATTTAGAGAACAACGAACATGCTCGCTCATGGACTTACATGTTAACCCTATAACTTCCACCTTCCTCTGAAGCATTAATTTAATTTTTTTGTTGTCAACTATTTTTTTTCGAGTGCCAAAAGTTTTTCGGTGGTAGTCGTTTGTTCGAAATCATCTACATCTTCATTGTCACTCTTTGATAGAAATAAAAGAATCTTTGATTGTTGTTTTTCGATTAGTTGCATTTTTTCTTTAAGGTCGCTTAAACAAAACAAAACTTTTTGCTGAAAGCTTTCCATGTCTATAGGAAATTGGTGAATTTGAATTTTTTTTTGGTCGTCCACCTTTAGAACTCTTGCCAGGGAGATAACTATTTATTTTGTCTTCTTTATTTTTAAGTGATGTATCATTATTTAAAATAAAATGTATATCCCCTTTGTTTGAAAACTCACCAGATGAATTGTCAACAACTTCTTCATTTATGTTGCGTTTTGTTTTTTTTTAGGTGAATTTGATTTAACCAACCATCCTTCTTGTTTTTTACCTTGAAAAAATATTTTCAAATAAGTGCTCAATAAATAAATACAAAATAGTTAAAAAAAACTATTAATGTGAGGTTTTTATGGATTTTTTTTTTGATGGGGTGGAATTTTTTTTCCCAATCAAAGCAAACAGACATACAATTTTATTCCTGTTTTACACCTTGTTCTGGTAGCTTTGGGAAAATAAACTTAAAAAACCTTAGAGAACTTATATAAGAGAATATCTGCTCTTAAAGCTAAAATATTATAGGGCTGGAGATGTCTGTTAAAAGATTATGAAAATGCTCTCTAAAAATCTATAAAAGACTGTTATAAGTATTTAAATCATTGTAAACTATATTCTCAGAATTATTTACAAACAAATCATAGTCATATATCAAAGTGAATACTAACCATTATTTGGTTTTTCCAAAAAATTTTGGATCACAGGATAATCCACCAGTGTTTCTGAAAGGTATAATAAGTTTGATCATTTGAAATAATGATAATGAACTTTTACTTTTAATTATGGAAACACTAAAACTTAACAAACTCTTGCAACAACCACTTTGATGTATTTGGAATACCAAATACATCAAAGTGGTTGCACCAACCACTTTGGTGTAATGGAATCAAGAATTTAACCTTTACATTATAACAACTACTATTAACCACAGCAAGGAATGAATCAATTTACCTGTAATTGTATCATAACAAGCTTTAAGAACTTTTCCTACAAGCAATTTATAAAAAATAAGTATAAGCAATGAAATAGATATAATAGTGTACCTCAATAAATAATAGTGTACCACCACAAATAATACTTTCCTTCTTATCTTTTTTTAAAAAAAAAACTTTATAGCTAAATAAAAATTTTAATGTACATTTTCCTGAAATAGTTAAATATACAAATTATTGAAGAAATAAATTTTTTTAGAAATAATATTATATGCACACTTACAAAAACATTGAAGATCGTTGTTTTTATTTGTATTTATTAGCTCTGCTTTTGCTGATCCAGTGTCTTCCTCAGTAGTTAGATTATATAAATTTTCAAGTTCCACTAAAGAATCTGTAAGCAAAATAATTAAATAAATTGTTTGTGTTGCTCTTTGTTATGTATTATGTATTTTTTTCTTCTCTGTACATGACTTTAGAAGTATAAAATAAAATTTTTATGAAAAATAACTTAAAAATTTTAAAAGAAAATATATACTTTTCAATAAAATCAAAAACATTAGTACCACTAAAACTTTTCACTCTTTGTAGTGGAAATGAAAACCATTGTATGTCAGGCAGGCTCTGTGCAATCTGTAATCATTTGAATGACAGGTCTATCCGGCTCAGAAGAATAACGTGCACACTTTTCTATCATATCTATCCAACAAACAGGAATGTTTTCTTGTATGGTTTTTAACCCTTCTTTCCATACCGCAGTACAATATTTATCCTAGAAATCAAGTGAGAATAAGTGCAACTGTATATATATATATATATATATATATATATATATATATATATATATATATATATATATATATATATATATATATATATATATATATATATATATATATATATATATATATATATATATATATATATATATATATATATATAATATATACAGTCTTGGAAAAAAGTTTAAGATCACCACGTATAAATGCTACACTTTGGTGCCTAAAATAAAATTGAGCGTGTATAAGTTTTTATTTGGCAACCATAGCTAGTTAACACAATCCCAATTATTATTTAATAATCAAAAAATAATTTCCCAATTATTTTTTGTACTGTAATAATTTTTTCATTAAATTTTCAGTTTTTCGCAAGTGGTATATAAAACAAACACATCAAATACAAATGTAAAACATACAAAAAACAAATTAATCAAACCATAAATTGTCTGTTTTTTTATTTTGAGGTTCTTCTAACTCTTTTAAAGTCGAAGTTGTCGCGAATGAACTTGGTGCTTGAGATTGCGACGTTACTTTAAGTTTATGTGTGGACAGTAAATGAGAATGTAGACCTTTTGTTGAACCACCAGCGATTTTCAATACTTTTTTGCAAGTACTTACCTTACACATGGCTGTTTCATCTGTTCCTTTTAGGTAATGTCTCCATATGGGATTTGTGCTGTTGAATTCTGCGTAGTTTATCATAATCTTTACATAAGTTCTAATTAAAAAATTTTTAACAATTTATATCTATTATTTCAACTTACATATTCTTTATCAGACTTATCATTCTAATTGAGTTTATGTAAATCCAATTTCTTCTTTGAATAACTATAAATATAGTTTATTTAATAAACTTTTTGTATTTTGATAACTTCATTAATTAAACGGACGCTAAGAAAATTTTGTAATTTAATAAACCTACTGTTTTTTTATAACTTTATCAATTAAACTGACGTTAAAAAAACTTTAGTAAATCACGCACACATTTGAAATTAAAATTAATGGATATAAAAATGAAATTTAAATCACGCACACAAATGAAATTAAAATGAATGGTTATAAAAATGGAATTAAAATTGCCCACACATTTAAAGGAAAACACTAAATCCAATCCTTCAAAGTGCTATCTAAATTTTACTGCCCGATGCGATCTCCAATTGAAATATAATCATACTTTAAAATAAAAGAACTCTGAGATTTTTAATAACAGTCAACAACATTTGTATTTAATATTTATTATTAATTATGTTATTATTAATAATATTTTCATTTAATATTGATTTGATAACATTTATATCACATTGTAAATGCCGTAATCGGGTCTAGAATTTTTAAAAACTGTTCAAACAGCACTTTGACGGATTGGATTTAACGTTTCCCACATTTGAAAGCAGAAAATTCAAATTATGTTCGATCGTATTTTTGCAGACAAGCTAATATATTTTGAGTTTTCGTTTTTAATAAAATACAGAAAGAGAGCGTTTTAAAAGGGAAACATTGCAAAGAGAACAAACAGTTACACAACCAAACAGCTACTATACCAAAGACGATGTACAAATTACTTAGTTACAATTATAAGCTTAAACGTTATTAACTTTTTTTTTTTTTTGACGATCCAGAAATCCCGGGAAATTTAGGCGACTAATCCGGGGATTTCGGGATGAACAATTTGTTCAAAATCCCGGGATTTCTTGAGATTTAATTGAGATTAGGCTTTCTATATAGTTGTTAAAACATTGAGAATTAATATTTGGTGGCTTATAACAGCATTTAAAAGTGTTTTTCAATTTATTTTTAATTTAATGTTGATAAAAACATTTGTTTTTAATTTGATTTGTTTTTAATTTGATGTTGATAAAAAAATTATAAATAAGTTTTTTATCAACATCAAAAAGACGCCATAAAAAATTGCTATCAAGTGATTATTATATTTCTAATTTATTTTTTGTGGAATTTTGCGCTCTCCTAAATTTGACGCTTCGGGCCACGCCCTTAGTACGGTCTTGCTGTTTTTAGCTTATTTGTCTGTAAGACAAATAAAATCTGAAATTAACTTTAACATTAATCAAAAAAATCTCTAAATTTCTCAAAATGTTTCTAAAAGCTCGTAATGTTTAGGTGTAAAATGGAGAATGCAATAACATCTATATCACTATTAAAATATCAGAATTATAATAAGAAGAGCTTATGTTTTTTGTTACTCATTTTTCATCATTTTTATAAAAATTAACATCTGAGTCTGAATGATTCTTTAAAATATTTGTTTTTTTTAAAAAGACTTGAATCTTAATTTATGACAGTTCATATCTTTACCCATATCATCAAGAACTTTTCCATATCATCAAGAACTTTTGTTTAAACAACAATTGCAAACGAATAATTAGGGATTTAAAGACGACTTTTTAAATTCTTCAACTAATAAATTTGTAAATTATTAACGAAAACAATTTTTCCGATGCTTTTTCTTTTGCTCGAGTTTTTCCTGATATGTGCAGTTTCCGACTTCTCATTGATCCCTTATCCTTTTAGTTTACTCAAACAGTTTGAAAATTTTATCTTAACTTTGTAATCATTTCATTATTGTTCTAGATATGTTATTCTCTTTATTATAGAGATTTTTAAATATGCAATGGAAACCATGCTTAACTTTTTAAATACGCAATGGAAACCATGCTTAACTTTTTACGGAGTTGTTCACAAAAAGAATAACAGTTCATTAAAAAGAAATAAGATAAAAAGATAAAAGAAATGAGATAAAAGAGACAAAAGAAGTGAGATAAGAGAAATAAAAAAAAGGTGGAATAAAAGAAGTGAGATAAAAGTGATAAAAATAGATATCTAATAGAATAAAAAATGTTGCCATGAAGTGGTAGACTAAAATTAGTCATGATAAAAGATAATAAATGTTAAATAAAATAAAAAATATTCAAGATGTGATAGACACATTAAAAAATATTCAAGATAATGAAAATCATTAGTAGTTCATCATTATGTTTTATATATATTACATATATTACATCAGTAAGTCATTATGATCATGGATCAAAATTTAATTTATAACATTTGATAGAGGTGTGAAAAATCAGAGGTAAGGTAGAGTTATTTTTAGCAAGATTAATATACATTAGAAATATAATTATGTATGATTGAGTGTCAAGTAGCACAATATGAACAGAAGAGGACCACCAACTTTCATCCCGTCCTCTCAGAATCCCCTCTGAGTGTACACCAAGGTATCTTTTGTCAAAGTGATTGAGAAACTGAATAGTTTTTTTCTTGATGTTGGTCCAGGCTTTGCAGCGAAAATTCCATTTAGTCAAAAAGGATTTGATTCATATCTTAGAACAACTGGTATAGTTATGGACGGACCAATTTTGAAAAAATGTGAACTGCACAATGCTTTTAATAGTCTTTAAAAAAAATTAAAGGCCAGGTATTGATCAAACTAATATTAATGTTATAAATCTGTTTTTAATATTATCGAGGTCTTATTATTTCATATTTTTAATCTCTCACTTGAATCAGGTCACATTCCAGATAAATTATAAATTGCAAAAATGATGCCTAATTATAAATCTGGTGATGAGACTAATACTCCAAACTACAGACCTATTTCAGTCTTGCCCTGCATTTCTAAACTAATTGAGCCCATTAGGCAGAGCCGTTCCTAATAAGTCTTCCATGACGGGGGGGGGGGGGGTATGTATTTTTTTGCTAACTAGAAACACCAAAAAAAAAAAAAGGTCTGAATATACGCAATTTACCAACTATAGTTCAAAACTTGCTTAATGTGCCAACTCAAATGCTTGTATGACAGTATTAGCCGTCCTCCTTCGGGACGGTTCTGCCTTTATGTATAACAGACATTAAAAATATTTAATTGAAAATAAGATTTTATATTGTAATCAATATGATTTAAAAAAAAAAACATTCTACTGATCATGCAGTAATTAAACTCTTATATATTATGTACAACGACAGGAGATACTTTTAAAAAAAACAATTTATTTTTAAAGAATCAAAAGATTCAAAAAACAACCTAATAACTTGAATATAAAACTCTATTTTATTTGCAGATTAATTTATTTTATTCTCACAAAGATATTATTGTTCTTTTAAAAATTTTTAACGAAGAATTATATAAGATCCATAAGTGGTTTAAAAATAACCGAATTTCATTAAGCGTAGATAAAACGAAGTTTATCCTATTCCATAAACCTAGTAAAACCGATAATATTCCTCTTAAATTGACCGATCTTTTAATCAAAAAATATTAATTAAAAGGGAATTGACTATAAAATTTCTATGAGAGCTTTTAGATGAAAAATTATCATGGAAATACCATATTAAATATATAGAAAGTAAGATCTCAAAAAGAATTTCCATGTTATATTGAACAAAACGGTTTCTTAACAATCAATCTTTAAAAAATATATATGTTTTCTTTCATATACAGCTATCTTTCTTACTGTAACGTTGCCTGGGATAGCACTAATTTTTTTTTTTTTTTTTTTTGTTCTTTTCTTGAATATTTAATATAGTTATACAATAAGATAGTTGAGATAAAAATCGTTATACAATAAAAGAAAATATATACAAAAAAGAAAGAACGCGGAGACTCGCAGAAGACCTTCAGGTCTTATCATCGAGAACCGCTCGTGAATATTAAGTACATTAAATTAACATGAAGTATAAAATCTAAACAATGTATTAAAAATTAGCGAGAACGTAAATTTCGTAATAATATATAAATAAAATTGAAATAAAGAAATTGTTGATACTCTTATATATAAATACAAAAATATTTTAAAAAGTACTGTTTTCACAAACACATAAGTTATGGATCAGATATAATATTTATATATTACCTTATGTAATAAACTTCATATTCATTTTTAAAAAGAGTTTAAACTCAATAAATTTTTAGCAAACAAAAACATACTTGCAGGATAATAATTGGGGCAAACAGGAATGCACATGGCGAACCTCTCTTACATCAGTTTGGAGGTTGCACATGGCGAACCTCTCTTACATCAGTTTGGAGGTTGCACATGGCGAACCTCTCTTACATCAGTTTGGAGGTTGCACATGACGAACCTCTCTTACATCAGTTTGGAGGTTGCACATGGCGAACCTCTCTTACATCAGTTTGGAGATTGCACATGGCGAACCTCACTTACATCAGTTTGGAGGTTGCACATGGCGAACCTCACTTACATCAGTTTGGAGGTTGCACATGGCGAACCTCACTTACATCAGTTGTCACTTACGTCACTTACCTCGCTTACATCAGTTTGGAGCTTTAAACATTTATAAGATTAATATTCATTAAAAAATGTTATTTATGTTTAAAACAAAACTTGAGTTATCTCCAGGAACATTTCAATCCTACTTTAATGAAATCTATCATAAATATCCTATCAAATTTTCAGTAAACAACCTTGTCATTTCCATAAACCATCTTAAATTAGGCTCGTACCAAATCAATATCGGGGACCTTTGATTTGGAAAAAATTTTCTTCATATTTTTAATGAAAAACAAGACTTTGTTTTAAGCTGCACTTTGGAAAGTTTTAAGGCGACATTTCATTAACATGGATTTTGATATACTAGATTTCAAATATCTTTTTTAAAAACAATTTAAAAGTTTTGATTTAATTAATTATCTAATTAAGATTTTTTTACTGATTGTTTTCCATTTTGTTTAAAGTTTTTGTTGATATTTATTAATCAGCCATAAATACTTATTTATATTAGATTATTTTTAATAAAGTAATTTTTTTTTGATTAATAACTTTCACGATTATCAAACTTTTGTATTATTTTATTTTTTCTTAAATTTTTCCGCTGGAAGATTGTCGGCAAAAATATATTTTATTGCTGAAGTTTTGCAGGTATTAGTCTAATGTAGAACGTTTAGGTTAAAAATTTAATTATTTCAAAAAATTT